GATCTCACGAAACGCCAAAAAGCCGGCGATATATCGATTGATTGGTTCAATGAATGTATTGTTTTTATAGACAATTTCAAAGTCATTCTTAGCGTTCAATACCACACAAGTGACACAACCTCTGGAACTGTCGCTCTTATCGTACGATATGTCGAGCCCTCCAATCAATTCAAGTTTATTCATATCGAGAGCCCAGTCCTCAGTGTCACAAACCACTAGTTTATCCCTCAATTCTAACTGCAATCGTATAAACTCTTCCGTCAATTCTTCGTCACTTTTACCACAAGAATCAGACATTTTTGGTATAATTTATATCAAATATATTAAAAACAAAATTATAAAAAAAACTTTAAAACCATTTATTGACTCAAAAGAGTTGTGAACCAATTGTCATGAGTTTAACACTTCTGTCGCTAATCTTATAATTGAATTGTTTGGTGATATTGTCACGTCTTGTGGTGATGTGAAGACATCCGCTAACGAGCGGTGAATATCCCGAAGAGGTTTTGTCCGTTTGACACAATATATCGCTTATATGAGCGATCGATACCACAAATCGGTTCACTTCTTCGTCGTCCTCTTCGGTGGGATAATGGGTTCCAATGGCCACAAGAATGTCGTTATGGAGACAATGGACTCGCAATCTGTGGACCAACTGATAGACGCTTAAGAAGTGGACGCCTAATGTGAACAAAAGGCTGATATCATCGACGAGTACCACACTATTGGCGCACAATTGAGACAAATGTTTGTCCAAATCGGCGGTAAATCTCTTGTAATCAAACTCCTCGTCTTCGGCCAAGACGTCAATCACACGAATGAGTTGTTTGTCTTTAAGAGCCGCCAAATTGATGCCAATCTTAGCGGCGATACTGCGATAGTGGGACCAACTGTTGGACAACAGGATTAGCAACAGATTTGATCCCTTTTTGGCCGAAGTGTGCACTAAATGGTCGAAAATAAATGCATGAGAATTGAAGTCACGATTCGTGAACACAAGACAATCGTTGGCCGACAGATCCAGCAGTGATGACAACTCCGCAGACATTACCACTCATTAGACAACAAACACAACGATTGCGACCAAAAACATACGAAAACTGCATTCAATTCAATGGCTTTGGGTTTCACACAACAGTTAATAACGTCACGAATAAAGCAATAGTTATTAACCCCCGACTCAAACCCCTATTCATTATAATCACATTTGTTTGTATCTATTATTGTTTTCTATGCGTTATTCGTGTAGACTATCGGTAACCATAGCACGTGTTAATCACATTTTGTGCGCAAATGTCAACACAAATGAGGTTTTGTTTTGAATTTTAAAGTTTGGTTTGAATTGTGTTTTAAACGTGTTTTAAATGAGTCGTGACTATCATTTCAATCGGTGACCAATTGGATCAACTCATGTCCAGTCATATGAATAACAGTAATCACTCGGACTCTGAAGACATGGACTCGTCTTCGGGTGAGTCCAGCGATGAGGAGATAACGGGAACCGACAGCCATTCATGCGATAAGTCGTTGTCCTCTTTGGACCTCCAGTTCACCGCCGAAGACAACAGAGCCCTCGCGGAGATCAACCGAAATAAGTTGAGTTCAGCGCCCCTTCACCTCAATTACCCCCTCCGGAGGAATCTGAGGCCTGAGCAGAGGGCGGAGGCGCTCAGCGGTGGCCTGGTCATCAAAAACGGCAAATTCAGTCGCGAAGAGGACGCGATTTTGAAGAAGAATTGGCACCAATTCTGCGACGACTTCCCGGTCGACACTCCGCACCTGTATTTGGGTTTCTTCACCTATACTCGTGAGACGGATCAGCACGAGTTGAGAGCCGCGCGAGAGGTCGTCAAAGCCAGTGAACTGAACCTACGGCTGGCCAGAGGTCTACCCGACCGCACCGTCGCTCAGGTCTATCAAAGAGCGCGCAAAAAGTTTTCGGGACTCAATCGGACCGCGAATCTGACTCCAGAGGAGAAGCAACAGGTCTATGACTATCACTTGAAGGGCGTGAAGAAGGCACAGATCGCGTCCTCACTGTTCTGTACGATGAGAACTGTCGGACATCTCATTCGCCAACACTTTAGTAACACCAATAAAGTCCTTAAGAAGGACTACTGGACTCAAGAGGAAAGCGATCGACTCATGTCCGCCATTCGTAGTGATATGAAGAGGAATAAAACCAATGATTACTCAGAAATAGACTGGAAAGAGGTGTCCAAACAAATGGGTGATCGCAGTGAATGGCAGTGTCAGCGACACTTCAGGACTAAAGTGTATTATGTGATG